AGGAAAGCAGTAAGAAATATACAGCATTTACGGTAGCAGGGCGCGGTTTGTATCAATGGCGAGTTATGCCGTTCGGTCTGCATTCCGCACCGGCCACTTTTCAACGAGCTCTGGACAGCGTCATTGGGCCGGAATTGGAACCTCATGCATTTGCATACCTTGACGATATCATAGTAACAGGGGAAACACTGGAAGAGCACCTGGAAAATTTGAAGGAAGTATTCCGCCGTCTAAGAGCAGCAAATCTTAGAATTAATCCAGAGAAATGTGAGTTTTTCAAGCGGGAGACGAAGTATCTGGGACATGTCGTCAGTGGAGAGGGAATTCATACTGATCCGGATAAGGTAGCGGCCATCCAGGAAATGCCCGCACCCACCAATATTAAAGAGTTACGCCGGTTCTTGGGTGTTGCTTCATGGTACCGTCGGTTTGTGCCAGAGTTTGCCACCTTGGCACACCCCTTAACGTCGCAACTTAAAAAAGGCAAACATTGGAAATGGACAGAGGATCAGCAAACCGTTTTTGAAATCTTAAAAGCTCGACTCACACAGGCTCCGGTTTTGGCTTGTCCAGACTTTTCGAAAACGTTTAAATTACAGACGGATGCAAGCGAGAGTGGCTTAGGAGCTGTATTGACCCAGGACTTAGACGAAGGGGAACGCGTAATCGCCTATGCAAGTAGAACCCTAAATGGAGCTGAGAAGAATTACTCGGCCATAGAGAAAGAATGTTTAGCTATTGTGTGGGGAATACGGAAGATGAGGCCGTACTTGGAAGGTTACCAATTCCAAGTAGTCACGGACCATTTGTCGCTCAAGTGGTTGAACTCCATCGATACTCCCACGGGACGATTAGCGCGTTGGGCATTGGAACTACAGCAACATCAGTTTACAGTGCAATACCGAAAAGGTAAATTTAATGTAGTGGCTGATGCATTATCACGGCAGCCTTTAGAGGCATTGCAAAGAGTAATGGTGGACGCCAAGGAAACATGTCCATGGTTGGAGAAGAAGATGCAAGAAGTTAAACTTAAACCTGAGAAGTTTTCAGACTTCGCCATCGTAGATGATCAACTCTTTCGACATATAGCCAGACACCCCGATGACGAGGACTGCACGCCCTGGAAACTATGTGTGGCGACCCACTTACGTGAACGTGTTTTGGAAGAGAATCATAGTCAGCCGTCGGCAGGTCACCTAGGTATACGGAAGACCATCAACAGAGTTTGTAATAGATATTATTGGCCTGGGATGGAGCGAGATGTAGCTAACTTTGTCCGTTGATGTCGGTCGTGCCAGCAGTATAAACCCAGTCAGGTTGCCCCAGCCGGAGAAATGCTGGTTACAATACCAGATGAGCCGTGGGCCATCGTGTGTGCGGATTTCGTCGGACCCCTGCCAAGGACAAAACACGGAAACACCATGCTGCTAGTGTTCTTTGACAGATTTACAAAGTGGATCGAGTTGATACCTATGCGTAAAGCCACAGCAGAAGGTGTGGTTAAGTCCTTTAGAGAGCGAATCTTATCACGCTTTGGAACCCCTAAAGTCTTTGTAAGTGACAATGGAAGCCAGTTTGTGAGCAAAATTGTAGGCAAGTACATGAAAGAGATAGGCGTCCGTCATCAGTTTACAGCCCCATATACACCGCAAGAAAATCCAACGGAACGCGCTAATCGAACCATAAAGACGATGATAGCCCAGATAGCACGCAATCAACATAACAAGTGGGATGAGTGTATTCCCGAGATCAATCTGGCGTTAAATACAAGTACCTCGGAGTCCACCACTTATAGCCCAGCGTACTTAGTTCAGGGCCGTGAACCACGACTACCAGCCGCGCTTTTCGATGAAGTCGTTTTGGGCACCGGCACAAGTACACATGACCCGGACCGTAAAGCAAAGGAGCTGCAGGAAATTTTCAAAATAGTTCGGCACCATTTGGGAAGAGCAGCGGAAGATCAGCGCAGACACTACAACCTCCGTAGGAGGCCCTGGAAACCAAATATAGGAGATTTGGTCCTGGTTAAACAACACCCTCTGTCAAAGGCGGGAGAAAGTTTCGCAGCGAAATTAGCACCCAAGTATGATGGACCGTATGAGGTCATAAGTTTTCCATCGCCCGTAATAGCACGCGTCCGTGACTCACGAAAACACTCCAGTCGTAATGCCCATTTGAGTGAACTAAAACCCTTCGTAGATACTAACCATGAATTTCCCCAGAAGTAGTTTACCTAAGTACGATTCATATATTCATTGCCTGCATTTCTCGTTTTTTTGCTATTACCAGATTTTGGACGAAATTCAAATGGCTGCCAACAACAAGACCCCGCGAAGCAAAGCCTTCTATAAGGAGATGTACCGGCAGTTAGAGTGCGATGTACCCCAGGTCCGGCTAGAGAAAATGAGGACCCTGCCGACCGTCAGACAATGTGCAGAGGTAAGGACACCGCTTCGACAAGCCAAGTCGACCGTCAGTTGTCCGACGCCGGAAATCTCGCCATGGCATGGCAGTCCAGGTTCGCTGGAGGAACGTAGGAGAAGGGCCCACGAGATGGTTATGTTTCAGTGGGAGTTTTACCCACCTCATCAGGAGCCCCCTATCGTAGTGAGCAGCTCATCATCATGCGAGTCCCCCACCTACATGGACAATGCGTTCTTGGCGCTAACCCTGGAGCGAGGGGGCCAGGGCACCCCTATCTATGACAGTTCCCTGTCATCGGTGGCATCATCCTCCACATCGTCATCGTCGGTAATCTCCTTCGACGCCTCCTCGCTGGAATCATATGTGGCCGAGCCTCAGATATCACCAGAGAGCCCACAAGTAAGCCATCCAAACAGCGGTAGACCCGCCAGATCGCCACAGAATTTCGTCTGTGCAGAGGAGCTACCCGTAGACATTGTGGAGCGGTTGGAAAAGGGGGTTGGCGAAGCCTTGGCTACGCATCGCAGGGGCAGGCAAACCAATATCTTGGTGATGGCGGCCGGACGACGATTCCGGATTCACATATCGCGGCGTGGACGAGCGTTCGTGCAACCTCGTTAAAGAGGGGAGGCAGTGTGACGGCAAAAATCGTGCCTCAATTTTGCCGCAACAGAATATTATTATTTTTTTTAATTGTAATGAATTTGCTTATGTTTCCATTTTTTGTATTTTTTTTTTTTTTTTTTTTTTTTTTTTTTGTTATTTTAAATAATAAATTTTAATAATGAATTATGTTAGTTTAAGTTAATAGTAATTACTAAAGTTTTTTTTGATTATGCGGCTATGTTTTGAAGAGATAAGAATGTAGTATTAGAATAGTACAGTTGTGCCCAAAATATTTTATATGAAGACATAAATAAGGTCCCGTTAGTCCTGACGCCAATGACACAAACAAGATCCCGTTATTGCACAAGCCACGTGGTCGACTCAGCAACAGAGGGCCGAAGTCGGGAAGGCCATTGGAAGTAGCCTGGAATTCTCTGTCGAGAACATATAGGACAGACGAGGCCTAGCTTGAGATCAGTCTGTGGTGAACCGGCAAAAGAAGTGGAACGTGAAAGACAACGGAGAATTAAACAAAAATATATATATTACCAGGTGAGTGTGAGTAGAGAAAGGCGAGTGTACCGTCGTGGGTCACGGAAAGTGTTCAACAACTAAACCCGTGGTAGTTCAAGTGCCGTCGTGGGCCTTGGATATTAAGAAAATAAATCTGAATTCAAGTGAAAATCCAAGTGCCGTCGTGGGCCTTGGATATTAAGAAAATCAATCGGATTTTAAGTGAAAAATCAAGTGCCGTCGCGTGCCTTGGAATATTAAATCGAATAAATCGGGATTTAAGTGAAAAATCAAGTGCCGTCGCGGGCCTTGGAATATTAAAGCGAATAAATCGGGATTTAAGTAAAAATGTAAGTGCCGTCGTGGGCCTCGGATATTAAAAAAGGTAGATAAATCGGAATTAAAGTGATAATCCAAGTGACGTCGTGGGCCTTGGATATTAAAGTAAATCAATCGGATTTTAAGTGAAAAATCAAGTGCTGTCGCGGGCCTTGGAATATTAAATCGAATAAATCGGTATTTAAGTGAAAATTCAAGTGCCGTCGTGGGCCTTGGATATTAAAAAGGAGATCAATCGGAATTAAAGTGACAATCCAAGTGACGTCGTGGGCCTTGGAATATTAAATCGACTAAATCGGAATTTGAGTGGAAATTCAAGTGCCGTCGTGGGCCTTGGATATTAAAAGGCTATATAAATCGGATTTTAAGTAAAAATTCAAGTGCCGTCGCGGGCCTTGGAACATTAGATCGAATAAATCGCAATTTAAGTGAGAATTCAAGTGCCGTCGTGGGCCTTGGATATTAAAGTAAACAAATCGGAATTTGAGTGGAAATTCAAGTGCAGTCGTGGGCCTTGGATATTAAAGAAAATAAATCGGAATTTAAGTGAAAATCCAAGTGACGTCGTGGGCCTTGGATAGTGATAAGTGATAAACCCGAAATTTAGGCAAGGAACAAAGAATTGCATTTTCTCTCACCTGAATTCTCCGAAGAATAATCTTACCTAAGCCGAATCACCACACCACACTCGTCAAGTACCAGCAGTGAAGCAGCTTTAATACAACTCGGCATAAAACGACCACAGGAGCAGGAAGCCGTATCACCGGACAACCGACATTAATATAAGTATCGAAATTTGTAGCCTTTAAATTGTTGCTAATAAAGCGGTACATACCGAATTTGTAAACGAAAAACTACCTTTGTCACTCTCAGTCACTTCAATATAAATTTTCTGTGACGAACCCTACCCCCGCGAGCATATCCCAGCGACCGGAGGAAACTCGTCGTTGCAATATAGTTTACGCCTTCTTCCCAAAGATTTGATTAGAATTTACGGTCTTTAATTGATAGATTTTTCGGATTTGGATATCGTACACAAAACCCCTCATGATAGACTATTAAAAATTCGATAGGTCGAACTTTTAGTCCCCTTTTGCGATCTTTGTTGCCCAAGTATTTGATATAACATTTATTTATTTTAGTTTAAATATATTTTTAATAAGTCGTACTGTACAAAGTGGAAGCGTAAAATAATTAATCGCTTAAGTTAAGTCCTTTTGTTAGCATGCCTGCCTTTAGTATTAAAATGAAGTGATATATTTGGCTACAAAAAGAAAATAGTTACATGCATGGCGAGGTTTTATCCAATTAGACATTATCTTATCATACTATATCCTCATTCAAGGCCGTCTCATTCAAATAACCAAATGTCCACTTCATTCTTGGATTCAATTTATCGCAGGCATTCATGTAAACAGCCTTCTCGTTATTGGCCACAAAGGCTTCCAGGCAAAACCTTCGATTGACGCCATGCCTAATCATTTGATGCTCCAGATCATAGGACCAGTATTGATTTCCTCCGCTATTGTGACATGACCACATCCACACGGTGGCATTTTCATGGGAATCCATTACGTCCAGACACACATCTCCCTTGTGATTTCGTATATCATGGAAATGGCTTAAATCCCAGAACTGATTAGAGTGCGGATGTGTTTTGTTCTCGGCACAACCGAAGAGACCAATGGCTGCGTTGAGGTTCTTGCCCATGGTATCAACACATTGCGTGGGGAAGGCCAAACTCTGAATGACACCAGTGGCGTAGCTAGGCGGTAGTACGGGTGGATACATCTGAAGTAGGTCAGGAGCGATATTCTCAAGAAACCATTTAAATGATTTGCACTTTAAATGCTCGCGAATTGCAATTTGATTTGTCAAATCGCCTGGATCAATTTCTTTGGCATCCGTAAGACGATCGTAGATGTACTCCTTGTATTCATCCAACCAGACTTCTGCAACACGCTTGTGATTCTGAAATCAAAAACAAAAACATGCACATATACTATTTTGCTACAGCACACACACACACATTTACTTACCCTCGCCACAAAACTATAGTTTCTTGGGCTAGGTCTCGGAGTCATGGGTCCACGGAAAATGTGAGCTACACGAGAGCACGGCACATCCAAGAGCATTCCACCGCACATCCATATTTTGAAACTCAATTCGTACTGTTCGGCTCCCCAAATGTCAAGGCCCTCATCGTAACCTCCCAACTCCCAAAAGAATTCTCTGCCAATGGCAAATAATCCTCCCATCATAATTGGATTTCGATAGGGCTGTGTTTTATCCACTGCATCAACTTGCAATACCGGCATTTGTTTGTATTTGAAATTCCAATCGAATGCTCCTCTGGATCCATCCTGATATCCCCCGCTATAGGCAAATGTGGCATGATCGATGTTATCGATGATGGGACAAGTTGAGATACGCTTATTCATGGCCATGGGTTCCAGCAGTGGTGGTAGCCAATTGTAATTGCACTCAATGTGAGAATCAAAGAACACCAAAACATCTCCAGTGGCACTGCGAGCACCCGCGAGACGTGCCCCAATCAAACCGGTTCTCTCCCGCAATCGAACAATTTTCACCAATCCCCCAAAGTAGTTGGCCACATAATCGTCCAGTTGCTGTTTCAACTCTTGCCGATCACTGTAATCGTCCACAATGATGATTTCGTGCAACAGCTCGCGAGGTGTACGATTTTTGATGCTATAGAGACTTCGAATCAGAACACTGAAGTATTCGTTGAAGAATGGTATAACCACACTTGTCGTTGGCAAATGGATTAGATACTGACGATGGCGACATCTGTAAAGGGATATGGATGTAGGAAATATATAACAAGGATAAGTGGTGTAAATTTTGACTTTATTGGTAAACAAATGAAAAAGTAATAAATGCCCTCCACCATTTGGGAGTAATTTACAAATTTCCAAAAATCATAAAAATAGCGAATATAGGGAGTTACCGCTATATTGGGGCCCATACGAAGACCTGTAATGCAAGTTTTGTCATAGACCATTACCATACTCAAATACGAAACTTGAAACAATTTAGCTGAATAATGTCGCTAAAAACATCAAAGCACCAAATATAGTGTGGCACAGATCCCATTGTAATCTATATCTCCCCAAAAAAAACTGCATTGGGTCTTGCTAGGTAGTCAAAAATACGACTCTTATCGACGCCCTTCTCCATCCATTTACACCCTACCAAAATCTATACATATTATTCTCTCCCCCTTTCTTTTTTATACCCCCACCATACATAGTTAGAGGGTATATTAAGTTCGTCATTCCGTTTGTAACTCATCGAAATAATCATTTTAGACCCAACAAAGTATATATTATTGATCAGCGTAAAATTCTAAAGCGATTTAGCCCTGTCCGTCCGTCCGTATGTTGTAATCACTCTAGAGTCTAAACGAATAAAGATAGGAAGCTAAAATTTTGCACAGATCAGTCTTTTGTATGCTGGCAAGTCAAGTTCAAAGATGGGCTATATTGGTCCACGATATCGTATAACCCCCATATAACCATACCCCCCGATATTCGGTATTTTGATGATTTTAGCCATACTTTCCAATGAAATTGTCTGAAAATCCACACAAGGAGTTCTTTCTGAGTACTTTACCCTCTGGAAGAAAATATTTTACATAAGTTTACGATATTGTATAACCCCTATACAACGGTGCCCCCGATTTGTGATGATTGTAGCCAAATTTTTCAATGAAATTCACAAAAAGATTTCCTTCTGAGTACTTCATCCCCTGGAAGATTATTGTCTATATTGGTCCACGATATCGTATATCACGATACATCCCCATATAACGGTACATACCTATATTCGATATTTTGATGATTTTAGCTACATTGTTCAACGGAATTGTTTAAAAATCCATTCTGGAAGTTCTTCTCAAGCATTTTACTCCTTGGAAGAGAATTTTTATATATAGGTCCATGTTTAGGTATAGCCCAAATGCAATGCTCTTCCCCGATATTCCGTACTTTGGCAATTTTAGGGACACCGAAATTGTTTCAAATTTCATATCTAGAATTCGTATTGGGTACTACAGTATATGACAGTTCCTCCCTATATTCGATATTTTGATGATTTCAGCTACATTATTCCCCTGATTTTTTTTCAAGTTTCGTATTTGAATATTGTAATGGCTTATGACAAAAGTTGCCTATACGTGTTCGTATAGACCCCAATACAACGTCTATATTCGGTTTTTTAAGATTTTAACAGAATTTTTAGCGGATGTTATTTTTTGAAAATTTCCAAATTCGTTCCAAATGGTGGAGAGTATTCAAAGTTTGGCCCGGTCGAACTAACTGCTTTCTTATTTGTTTTTCTCACAGGTTAAAAGTTTTCGAGTAAAGTAGTTACAAATTTTTAATTAGAACTACACATCCTCTAACATAAGCTCCGCTTCTCATTATTATTACAATTACTCAACATTTTCGATTAAAATTTCATTGAATTTTTTTACATTTAAGATATATAGAGTCTCCGGCAATATTACTGATAACAATATTACGATAATTTTGGGCAAACGTTATATCGTCACTAAAGGGATTCTTTAAAATATTGTTAAAAAGTGTAATCCTTACAAGTCAAAATACCCTACAAAATTATTTGTCATAAAATTCCACTATGAAAATTACTTAAATAGAATGAATTTATAAATAATAAAAGCTCATTTTTGAGGTAAAGTCGTATTACATATTAGATTATTTTAGAAGGATGACGTCAAAGACTAAAAAATTCTTTTTCAAATTTCATTATAAGTCACAAAAGAAATCTTTATTTAAAATAAACATCGTGAAAATATTCGTATGAACGTTGAATATTTTTGAAGCAGATGCAATTACACAACCCGCTTCATTAAAATAACAAAAAAAAAAAAAAACAAACACACCAAACCAAACCGACAATGCATACCCTCAGCTTATGTCGGTCATTAAAATGTATTTTGACTTACATTATGATTTTACAAAATTTTTATATCAAAGTAGTGGACTAATATTATCCATTGCTTATCTGAACTAACTCTCATATAAATATTACAACGTGCCAGATTTGGACTATATCGACTACTTCCTTCACCTTACGTGGGATATGTGCTAATTTTTGGTTAATTTTGAAATGTGCTTGAGATATCAAACATAGTGGGTCGATGTGTTCCACTTCATCTAATACTGATAATAACATTGGCATGTGCAAAATTTAAAGAAAATCTGATATCTTTTACCAATTTTATGGGTATAATTGTTGCTTATTCACATCAGAACTCTAGTTGAGGGAAATATTTACATATATCAAGGTTAAAAAGAATCGCTAACTTCTTTCGCAAGTTAAGTGAGATATAAGCATTTAAATTGTTGACTCTTTGTGGGGGTGATACCAGCAGAATTAGGTCCATGTCTGCCACCTTCACAACAGATTTTGTAAACATAAAAATATTGGGATGTGTGAAATTTGAGGAGAATCGAATGCTTATTTTGAGTTTTATGAGTTATAATAGTTCAAAATGTTGACCTGTTGTGAAGGAAGTACCACAAGAAGCGGCGCGATATATCCCATCTTCACAGATGCTTTTGTGTTTGTTAGTTGTTAGAAATATTGAGATTTGAAAATAATCGGATGCTCTTTCATTAGTTTTATAGTTAGTCAAAATTTGACCCATTTGTGGGGTAGGTACCAGATGGAGTGAATCGATATCTGTAATTTTCGCATCAGACCATTATATTGGGATGTGTGGAATTTAAAGAGAATCCGATGCCTATTTCGTATTTTATGAGGCTTGTATTGAAAAATGTTGAAATTTTATGGGAGAGATACATGATGAAGCGGGCCGATATTCTTTCTTGTTCCATACGGTAAATTGTTTTCTGTGTAAACGTTCACATATTGTGGTGGATGTACCAGAAGGAGTGAACCGACGTAGCCCATCTTCGCACTCGATCTAAGTTTGACAAAAATATTACGATGTACTAAGTTGGGATCAAATTGGATACTCCCTTCGAGGGTTATCGTGCACACTAGACAGGCTGATGGACGGACACCTCTAGATCGATCTAAATGTCCTGAAACGGATTTGATCCAAAAAGACCTAGGATCTATACCCGTCATTTCGATGAGGCATGTACATTAATATGCACCAAATCGAGTTAAAAAACAAGGAAAAAAGCGGTAAATTTGGCCGGGCCCAACTTTGAACACTCTCCACCATTTGGAACGAATTTGGCAATTTTCACTATACTATCTTAGGCTGTAGTACCCATTTCGAACTTCAAATACCAAATTTGAATCGATTCCGGTGATTAATGTCGCTAAAATCATCAAAATAGGGATTGTCGGGAGGTACCGTTATATAGGGGCAATACCAAAACGAGGACCTACTTGCCCCATTTTCAATACGGAAGCTAGAGTGATTTCCACAGACGGACGGACATCGCCATAGAATTTTTTGCTAATCAAGAATATATATACTTTGTGGGGTCTAAAATATATATTTCGAGGTCTTACAAACGGAATGACAAACTTCATATACTCTGCATACTATGGTGAAGGGTATAACAAAATTACATGATTCTAGCTTCAGCCGTCCCATCGCTGCAAAATATTGAATACATAGGTTTTTAAAAAATTTTTGTTTTATACCCAACAATACTATGTGTTTGGGGTATTATAAGTTTGGTTGGGCCAAAATTGGTGTGTATATGGGTTCTAGACCCACATTTAGCTACATTTTTAACTTCCTATCTTGCCGAGCTGAGTCGATATATACATATACAGGGTGAGATGAAAAAATTGCAACCAACTTCAGACTGATGTCATTTCTAAGCCACTCGTCCGACAGCTGTTAAAATTTTTCCAGTGACAGCTCTTAACATTGTTTACAAGCGTACAAAAGCATTTTGTTAAGAATTTCCCAGAAAAAAAGTAGTTCGGAGTGGAATTCAATGGTGATAGTGTGATTTCTTTATATTTGGCTGGAAAACCACAAGTGGCTATCGTTAGAGCACTCCAGCATTTAAATGTGAATAAATCGTTTGTGTCTCGTATCGTGATACTGGTAGCATGGCCCGAAGTCAAAGAAGTGGACGGAAGAAAACAGCAACATCAGCAGAAATTGTTCGAAAAGTAAAGAAGCGACTTGATTGAAACCCGCATCGTAGTGGCTTAAAAATGACTCGTGAGATGAACATATCGCAATGTTCCATTCGGCAAATATTGAAAAATAAACTCGGGGTAAAGCCATTGAAATTCCAAAAAGTGCAAGAACTTACACCGCAACAGAAAGAAAATAGACTTAAAAGAGCTAAAGAGTTGCTTCGCTTGGCCGAAAGTGGTAAACTGTCGAATTTGGTTTTCTCCGATGAGAAAACATTCGTTATCCGGCAGTTTGTAAGCAAACAAAATGTTCTTGTTTACTTGCCAAAGAGGTCAGCTGAAAATGTACACCTTCGGTTGGCCACCGGAACTCAAGCGCCGGCCATGGTGATGGTGTGGGCCGCCATAACAGCCGATGGTCGCTCTCCGCTCGTATTACTCGACCGTGGCATCAGAATAAATGCCGAATATTATCGCGAAAATATTCTAGAGGGTGTATTAAATCCTTGGGCACACAAACATTTTGGCCGCAGACCTAGGACATTCCAACAGGACTCGGCACCATCGCATTCAGCACGCACTACCCATGAATACTTACAAAATCAGGTTTCTCGCTTCATTTCAGCGCACAATGGCCACGAAAATCTCCGGATACCAATCCGTTGGACTATTGTGTCTGGAGTATTTTGGAAAGCAAGGTTGGCACTAAAAGATACCAAAGTGTCGATCACCTCAAGCAAGCGCTACTCTGGGAATGGGCCAAAATACTGCAGAGCAGTTTTATTGGCGATTTGAAGGCCATAATTCGTTCTAAAGGTGACCAATTCAAACAAATCTGAACTTATTCTAAAATTTAATGCTATTTCCGACATTTTTTACTTTCATTAAATAAAATTTAGAAAAAACACTGTAAAAATTATGGCGTTTGACTTTGTTGCAGTTTTTTTATCTCACCCTGTATGTGTATCAGTGCGTCCGTTTTTCCATTTATCCATGTCAATTTGTAATCACGCTACAGGTCGCAATTCAGGTCAGATTATAAACCTATTGCTAGGGAAGATGATAGCAAAATATTAAGGGAATGAAATCGATCTAAAACTACTTTTTGCTGACGCTGAGACCGCTATAGACCGCTCAATGCTTAGTTTTTCGTGGGGTTAGATTTTAAGAGTTCTAAAATGGCAAAATTTTCAGCCAAATTTGGGAAAACACAAGCGTCAAATGGCGATCTCTTAAAAAAAAAAAAAAAAAAAACTTTACTATCGCGCTATAAAAATCTAGTAGAATGATGGTTGGTTAGTATGTTAAATTTGTAAGATGGTTCTCAAGTGTTGACACTTCCTACTGGTTATATGTTCCCGGCATGTATAAATCTTATCGAATCAAACTTAATATACACATCATAATAATGTGGTGGGTATAAAAATGAGATCTGTGATTGGCTGAAGAACAGACAGAATTACAATAACATTTTCAATTGAAAAACAACAAGAAATTTTCCTGTCTTTGCATTTTTCTTTCCTTGGCCGGCAAAAATATTAACATCTCTACGATAAGATAACACACCATTTTTATCTCATTCACTTTCAATGTTAAATTTCATAACTGCAAAAAAAAAGCTTCCATTGCTGACATCCCTTATGGGGGGAAATAAAATATTGACTCATTGTCACTTACTCTTCTCTTCGCACATCTGGTATCGAACGATTTACCGAAATCGAGTCGGACAAAAGTGCATTGAATCCATTTTCCTTGTACAAAGTTTCTTCTATTTCCTTCTTTGACTCATCGGTGATGTACGACGGCATTCCGTGTTCGCCAAGACCCACTCGCTTCGCGTCCATATCGATGGCCACGTAATCATGCCAGTCGCGTTTGGGGCCCTTGGGTTCCGGCAATTGGAATGGTACATTAACATCGTAGAACTGAGTTAGATTGAGTTCACCTTCCAAAACTGGCCTAATATAGGGATGGCCATTTATCACAGCTGGTCGGGGTCGTCGCAGTTTGGCCTCCTCACCATTTGAAGAACTTGGTAAAAATGGTATATCAGCGTGTTTGTGCACATCGCCGTGTTGTGCGCTTTTCTCCGCCACCGATTTGCTTAAATCATCCGCCAGTTGTTTGCTCAAACGTTTCTCCACCACTTTGATGGTAATCACCGTCAGAACAATTAATGTCACAACAAATAGAATAAACTTTCTTAGGAACCGTTTAAAGTAACGTGGCTTCATTGTCGCCAACTATTCGAGGAACTTTGGAAACGAGTTATCAATACCATTAACACAAGATGACTGATTCCACCGCTTCGGCAAACAATTATGTGAAGTCAGCGAAGTGGCACATGAAAACCAATATTGCCGTAAAATTCTATAAAAACCTAATGAAATGTATATTTGTCACAGACAATTTCCGAACAAATGTTAATTTGATAAACAATGTACTCGTTCTCTTATCGCCAAGCATCTTGATTTCAAAATAACCATCTGGGCCAGCATCGAGAATGTTTCAAAACTTTAGATAAAAAAATATTTAACTGATTATACCTGTATCTTTTGAATGTCTTTGATCGGAAAAATTCTGTGAAATGTTGCAACAGTCTATTCGAGTACGTGAAATAAAAACCAGATACTTTTCCGATTTTAAGAGCGAGTGTAATATAGGCCGGCCAGTAGTCTAATGGTTTTCAGGCCAAATATATTGACATAGGCTAAAGAATTTTGAAAAGAACTTGCAAACGACGGCTGGACTAAACTCTCTTGTTTCTTTGAGCACACGAAGATGAACTCCATCGGATTCTGATAAAACCACTACAATTAAAAGAAATCATTAAAATAATATCAATACTAAGTCTATGAGCAATAATAATAATTGAAAATCTTGAAATTTTAGATTCTGTGAAGAGTGGTTTTATCTAAGACAAAAGTAAGCGTTTTCCAGGGCAGGGCAATGCTAACTCAAGTACTCCAAAAAAAAAACAAGTTTAAAAGCAGTAAGTTCGACCGGGCCGAACTTCGAATACCCTCCACCATTTAGAACGAATTTGAAAAATTTCAAAAAATAAAATCCGTTAAAAATTCTGTTAAAATCGTAAAAATACCGAATGTAGCCGTTATATTGGGGTCTATACGACGTGGAGCTACATAGGCATTGTTTGTCACAAGCCATACCATATTCACATTCGAAACTTAAAATAAACGGTGAATAATGTAGCTAAAATCATCAAGATACCGTATTTAGGGAGGTACCGTTATATCGGAGCATTGCGTAGACAATTTTCTGTCACAGACTGTAGTTCCCATTATGAACCCTAAATACGTAATTTGAAACTACTCCGGTGAATAATGTCGTTAAAATCATCAAAATACGAATATAGGGAGGTACCGTTATATCAAATACCAAATTTGATTTGTTATATGGGGGCTATATGAAAACGTGGACCTACATGGCCCATTTACGAACTTAACCTGCCTACTGGCAAAGTAAACATGTGTGCAAAATGTTAGCCTTCTATCTCAATTCGTTCAAAAGGACTTAGAATTTTACACTGATCAAGAATATATATACTTTGTTTGGTCTGACATGGGCATCTCGAGGAGTTACAAACGGAATTTTGGAAGATATAAAAACAGCTATTTTCGGCCGGGCCGAACTATTAATAACCATTTTGTAGGGTCTTGAAAATTTCAAAAAAAAAAAAAACCGTAGAAAAATGCCACTGCCGTACTATCGATTCCGAACATCAGGTACAAAATATAAATCAATTCTGTTGAATAATGTCGCATATATCATTAAATTTGAAACAATTCCGGTGAATAATGTTGTTAATATCATCAACAAGCCGGATAAAGGGAGGTATCGTTATATGTGGGCTACACGAAGACGTGGACCTGCACAGACAAAATTCTAACATATGTTGAGTACTTATTACGAGCTTCAAACTTTATATACGAAATTTTAAGCAACTCCGGGCAAAAATGTTCCTAAAATCATCAAAATACCGAATACCCCCGATATTTGGTATTTGGATGATGGGGGATATACAATATCGTGTACCTATATACACAATTCTCTTTCAGATGGCAAACTTCTCAGAATGATCTCCTTGTGTGGAAGAAACCGTTATAGGGGATATCGTGGACAATATAAAGACAATTCTCTTACAGGTGGTAAAGTACCCGATATCATGGACCGATATAGCCCATCTTCGAACTTGCCCTGCCTCAACACAAAAGACTGATTTGTGTAAAATTTTAGTTTCCTTTCTTAATTCGTTTTGACTCTAGCATGATTACAACAGACGGACGAACATGGCTAAATCGTCTTAGAATTTTACCCTGATCAAGAATATATATACTTTCTTATCCTTTCATGTTGAAGTAAGGGTAAAACGCATATGTAGCAATTGGGTGTTAGATGTAAGTTTGTTTTACTTCGTCGGCAATCGTGTGATGGGAACAGCAATGAGGCTGTAGTAGTTAGCTTTCGGACTTATGTCGGTAATTCCAGCCCCCTGCAATGAGTATGGTCAGTCTTGCAGATCAAACCAAACGAAAAAAATCACGTAAGAGTCCGAGTATGGCTGAATTATTCATACTCGTTGCAGCCCTCAGCTGAGTTTGTTTCAATTTGTTTGAGTGAGGTACTCCAAATAGAGCAAGGGTCTACTCTAAAAGTGAAATAACGTAGATTAAGGTTTTCGTATGTGTCTAGTATGAAAAAGTTGTTGTTGTTGCTGTGAAATGTTGATGAGAAAAACAGCAGGGGTAAAATTATCACATTTCTTATCAAGCTGGATTTTCTTCGAAGACAAATCACGAACGTTAGAAAACAATCTGTGAATAACAAAATTAAAATATATTTTTTAACTTAAAACAAATAAAAATCACCTAAGTTCTGCCGGGCCGAGCATTTAATACCCTCCACCTTTTTGAAGGAACTTGAAAATTTTCCTAAAAATTCCGTCGGAAAATACCGCTTATACATAGTCCTGTGATTGTAATTTGTTGTCATAGGTTGTATTACCCATTACGAACAAATACGAAATTTGAAACAATTCCTGTGAATAATGTCCCTAAAATGCCGAATACCAAAATTCCGAATATCAGGAGGTATCGTTATATGGGGGCTATAAGAATATGTGGACCTACATACGCAACTTTTTGTCATATGCTGTAGAACTTTAAATACGAAATTTGAAACAATTCCGGTAAAAAATGTTGCTAAAATAATATATAATAATTTTAGACCTAACAAAGTAAAAACGATTAAGTCAGTCCCTCCGTCGGTCTGACAGTTTTATATGTAAAAATAAAACGTGCCTCATCGAAATAACACTTTTAGACCCAAGGTCATTCAGAACATTTGGAGTCGATCTAGCGATGTCCGTCTGTCTGGCTGGCTGGGACTTTCCGATTTGGTACATCGTAATATATAAAATATTCGGAGATGGGCAATATCGGTCCACTCACTCTGATACCTCCACCACAAAGGTCGAAATTTTTCAAACAAATATTTTGCTGCACAGAAAAGGGAAGGAATAATCTGATTTATCTCCAACTTTGCAAATCCTAATATTTGCATTAGTGCTAGGTCAGGTGCGAAAATGGACAATATCGGATCATTCCATCTTGTAGCTCCCCCTCGAAGAGTCAAAATTTTTTATAACTCTTGTAAAATGTGATGTTACAGTCCGATTCTCTTTAAATTACACACATCACAATATTTTTATTAACCTATGTTCTGGTGTAACGATGGAATATATCGGTCCACTCCTTTTGATACCTCATCACAAAGTGTCAAAATTTTATATATACATGAAGCTCATGAAACACGAAATTAAAGTCCAATTCCATTCACCTTTGGCACATCTCAATATTTTGGTATTAATACAAGATCTGTTATAAAGAACATTCCTTCTGGTACCTCCCCCACAAAAGGTCAAAGTTCAGAATAACTACCCACTAACACAAGATGGGATTTATCGATGTACTCCTTCTGGCACTTCCCCACAAAGGGTTCATAATTTTAAATACCAATGAATCTCATAAAACGTGAAATAAGCATTCAACTCTCTTCAAATTTCACACATCCAAACATTTTTAGTTAACGCAAGACCTATTGTGAAGATGATAGGTATATACCAACCCTTTCTGCTACCTCGCCCACAAAGGGTCACAATTTCCAATGCTCCTATCTATCATAACTTGCGAAACAAGTAGGCGATTTCATACAACTAGTAATATCTCACTAAACTAAATATCTCTCTAAACCAGAAATCTCGGATTTTATGATTTTGTAAAATCGTACCTCACATATCTCACAAAAAGTATAGGAAGTAAACGATTTCCAAATCTAACACGTTGTAATATTTATATCAGACATAGGTCAGATAAGAATTGGACAATATTGGTCAACTGCTTCGGAATAACTCAGGGCTGTCGGCAAAACCGACTGATCCTATTTAACTTTTTTTTTGAAAATTGAAAATATCTTCGCTTGTGTGGCACGAAGCGCCGTCCTGTTTAAACCAAATGTTGTCTATATCCATCTCTTCAATGTGTCTTAAAAGTTGTTAACAAAAATTCGTTGTACATGGCCCGATAACACTTGCTCATTTTGAAAGAAAAATCCGCCAAAGAAGACCAAAATCGTTTTGGGTGTATCAACTTTTCAATACATACGTGCGGATTTTCTGTGCCCCAAATGCAAGAATTTTGCATATTTACATGCGAAGCTGATGGTGCTCTCTTCGTCCAAAATCCGTAGGTAATTCTTGCACACTTTCTGCAACATACCATGATTTTCGAAGTAATTCCGCAAAATCACTCCAGCCCACCCAAGCGTGTACACAACCATATTCGTTAAAGGTCACAACTAATTATCTTTCAAACCTAACATAAGCTAAGTGTTACAATTTTTTAAAGAAGCCGACGTTAAATTTCTGACCCTATAACCTATATCTATTGTAGTATTTCTCATACCTATTGCTCTGATGTTTTGAAGAAATTTCTGACTAGCTATCTGAGGTAAACTATTCGAAAAAAATCAAAAACAAAATTACGCCAAATATATAACTTATGCAAAAATTTTCCCTAAAGAGAAAATTTACCAAAAGAAAAATCAAATACAAAAGTCTTTATTCATTTACAAAAGCAAACATAACAATTTCGACAATAGTCATCGGAATATGTACAATGACCATAATCCAAGTGGTCATTTTTCCTTGCTTCAAATAGTTTTATAGACGCTTTGCAAATCTCCCCCTTTTCAAGATGCCCCAAGATTATGGTGATGATGAGTCAAGGCAAATCTTGAAA